TGAATTTATATGTATATATTAATTTAAATACATGTAGATGAATATTTTGGATATTTAATAATATTTTTGAATGATGAGTCAGCAGTTTTTTGCTGAGTCAGCAGTTTTTTGCTGAGTCAGCAGTTTTTTGCTGAGTCAGCAGTTGCGTTTGTTTGATTTGGAAAAAATTTAAAAGTTTGGGTATTTATATGGGAGTTTTGAAAAGTTCAGATATTTATATGATAATTTTATAGTTCGGATATTTATTTGGGATTTTTATAAAAGTTCGGATATTTTTATGTGATTACCCCTAAATATAATACAGCGGAAGACATTATAAAATATATGAGTACGTTTACATACGATACACGAAAACACAAGTAAATAATACGAATGGTGAAATGTATAATACAAAGGTCTGAAGGTCACCACCCTTTTATTTTCAGAAATAAAATAAGTCCAAAGTAATTATACGTGATCTGGAAGTCGAGCTATCACGGAGTCCCACGACTGTCTAAGTCACTACTGCTGCTCACGACCTGAATCGTTGCATAACAACGTCATAAGCTACGTGTTTAGGGAGGAATCCGGGTGTAATCCGAGATTTCTATTTTTATTGAAAACGACCAAGCAATATAGACAATACTATATATATACATGCGACGAGATTTTGAACTCTATATAAGGAAAGTTTGGCTAAAGATTTAAACACATCAAATCCTAAATCCTATAGAGGATCTAGAGAGCTTTATAAAAAAGTCTAAAACGATCATAAATTCTCAAGAACCTCTTCGATCTAGCGACTTCCAAGTCCTAACAGGCCAAATCCAATTGTTGGATCCAACCCACAGTGTGGATACCGTAGAGGGCATTCCCTTTTGTAACGTCTTCTAATGTTGCTCTGCCATTGCCATTCGTCCGAACAAGGTGGCTTATTCGCAGACGGAGTTGCTTCCGAGAATAACATACCAATTCCGGAAATATATATTTTCATCTTGGAAGCTTTTTAATTCGTCCGGATTCCATCATTCGTCCGGGAATAACATAACTACTCGAATGGCTGCTCAAATTTCTTCCTAAGGATTAATGTATATTGTGGGATGACGAATTTAGAGCAAAAATACTAAGCAAAATACCACAAATACAAGTACAAAAATCTTCATAAAAAAAAATGCAAGTACAAAAACCGTATAAACACAAAAAAACACTAAACTAAACCACGAGAACAAACAATGAACGAATAGACATGGAAAAATTCGACAGAAACAAGTATGACACCGCTCACACCGGAAAAACAACATATATTGTATAAATTAAACAGAACATACATCGTATTTGTTGAACAAAAATATGAAATAAAAATATTCAAAAACTATAGAAAATTGCCATTGCATAGTGAATTTGATAGTAACATGAGTTTTTGATTTTTTTTATAGGGATAAACTTATAAAAATTCCCGAACTTGAGATTGATGGAAAATAAATTCCTAAACTAGTAGGTTGGAATAATAATTGTCGAACTTGAAAAATATGGAAATATAAATCCCGAACTTGAAAAATGGTGTCATAACAAACTTTGACCGGTTGATTAATTAAAATGTCAGATATTATCCTATATGTTTAGTGATACGTCATATTTTTTACCACATATGCAGATCTAAAAATATTAAATGAGTTTAATGAATCGGACCAAATAAGATTTTATTTAACCTGACCGAATTAGTTAAAAATCTACTTTTCATCATCTTTTTCGATTAAGGTTTTGAAACTCTAATCGTCACTATTGATATGATACACGAGTATGAACAAAGAAAGGAAACAACACAAGGCGCAATATGTGGAGAGCCTAATCTGCAATCTTCCCGAGATCACAATCAATCTGCGATCTAAATCAACTTGGACAAAGGAAGATTGCTCAGACAAAGGCAACTTATTATTTTGCACATATATTAACTGATTTCTTTCCAAAGTTAACAGACAAGTAAATCACTATATGTATGTACGCTCTGTTCTTGATTCTGTATATGAGCAAGAGAATTCTTTTCTTCCAACTGTCGCTTGATTCTGTTCTCGTTCAACTATCACTTTCTGCCTCATTTCCATTGCCGTTGTGGTTATGATATCAACAATGACGAAGGAAAGAAAGATCAAGATAGACAACCATGGAAGAAAGGAGAAAATTGTTTGTATTTCTTTTTCGGATAGAGAGGTTTACAGGAAAGAACTTCTATTTCAAAGGAAATTTAGGATTGTCAATACTTGATATTCTCAGGGTAAGACTGACAGTCAAATTGTAAAGAAAGAAGCGTACAAAGTGCTTGGTGAAATGTCTCTGAAATGTTTTTGTTATTTTTATTTGGAAAATTATATTATAATGTCTGAGAAAGTGTTGGCGACGATTAGAGTTTCAAAATTTTAATTGAAGAAGATGATAAATAATAGATTTTAGTTGATTTGGTCTAGTTAAATAAAATCTTACTTGGTTCGGTTTATTAAAAATCGTTTAATATTTTCGGTTCTGCATATGTGGCAAAAAAGCTGACGTTTCACTAGACAAATAGGATAATATCTGATAATTTAATTAGTAACATCGGTCAAAATTTATTATGGCATCATTTCTCAAGTTCGGAATTTATATTTCTATGTTTCTCAAATTCGGAAATTATTATTCCACCTTACTAGTTTAGGAATTTATTTTTCACCAATTCTCAAATTCGATAATTTTTATGGGTTTATCTTCATTCATATATATTTAAATAGCCGTGACTTTTGAATGATACAAACAAGGAAAAATCGCATATAAATACCCAAACTCTTACAAAAATCTCATATAAATACCTAAACTATAAAATTATCATATAAATACCTCAATTTTTCAAAAATCCTACATAAATATCTAAACTTTTTTATTTTTTTTTTCAAATAAACTATCTCCTGTTAACAGAGTTAAATATTAAACATAATCCGACAAAAAAAGATGACTCAGCATTCAGAAATCCTATAAGCAACCACGTTATTGGCCATATAGGATGAATATGTTTAATTGACTAATAATTTTTTAAACCGAATCGAAACGGTTTGATAAAAAAAATTAAAAATCCTAAATCCCTAAAAGAGTTTTCTCAAATCGTCCAAGACATCTGGAGAAGGTCCTTCAATGGTAGACAAAGGTAAAACTGATTCGAAGTTATTGAAGCTCTTGTTCGAGACTCTGTTGAAGTTGAGGAAGAAAAAAACATGGAAATCTTCAGTTGTTTGGAGATGTTGAAATCAATGGGCGTCACGTTTCCATCTAAGGTTATGATTATCTAATGAAAAAGGTGAACATTATCAAATTAGATTAAACAAATCCAATCTCATGTATTTTGTTTTACAAATGGAAAGTACATATTCTCTGTTGTTTTTTATCAGCTTATTAAAAGCTGCAACTTGTAAGCAATAATAGATTTCAAAAAAAAAAAAAAAAAAGAAGAAGAAGGGTGAAATTCTACCCGAAAGCAAACTCATTAGAAAAAGAACATCTCAATGAAGTAACAGGCTGTTAAGTTTTCTGAAAAAACATATATAAGAACATATGTTCTTCATTAGCCAGAACACACAAAACAAAAATCCGAGAAACAATGCCCATAAAAAGAAACAAGATCGAAAGCAATATTCATGGGTGGTTGTGTTTTCTCCGAGAAGGAGAGAGAAAAATCAAATACCCTGGCTAGCCCTCCCCATATTATGGCGCTTAAAAGTTGTTTCATTTCAAAAAGGGCCAGGAATGCGGAATGAAAGAACTTCTTTCTATTAATACGGGACAACTCGTATCAGGCCAACATGGGATTAGCTTCTCGGAGAAAGATGAAGAATGATTTCGGCCATCGAATAACCTTCTCCAGATGATTTAACAAAAAAAAATTCTCCAGATGAATGTTCCATGTCCGCCATTGAAGGACTCTCGGCACATGACATGGGCAATTTGGGAAAACTCTTTTAGGGATTTTAGAGTTTTTATTTTTTTATCAAACTGGTCCGGTTCGGTTAATAAAATTATTAGTCAATTAAATATACTCATCCAACATGGCCAATGACGTGGATATTTATAGAATTTTTGATTGCTGAGTCGTATTTTTTTTGCGGATTCTGTTTAATATTTAACACTGGAAGATGGTTTATTTAAAAAAAATAAAAAATTTAGATATTTATATAAATTTTTTGAAAAATTAAGATATTTATATGATAATTTTATAATTTAGTTATTTATTTGAAATTTTTATAAAAATTTAGATATTTATATGCCATTTTCTCTATAAACAAAAGATATATTCGAAATAAAAAAAAATATTTTGGTACACTTCGCAAGGTGTCAAAAACATAAAACAAAAGCCATATTTTTAGAATTTTTAGAATCCAAAAACAAAAAAAAACAACATTTAAGTTTTTACAAAATTACTTTTCCTAAAAATTTGGAAATCCATTTTAGTGAAAAAATCAATGAAAAACCAAAAGCTACTTTTTTTTGAGTTTTCAAATATTATAAAATCCAAAAGCCAAAAACCAAAAACTAAAAACCAAAATCCAAAAACTAAAACCAAAAACCCAAAATAAAAGCATCTCCATTCAAACTAAAAAAGAAAACGAGAATATCTCACACGTACTCCGTCCTCCTCTAACCCACCACACCTCCTATCTTTCCCCCTCTGGAATGGAATAATATCCAAAATACCCTCTATTTGCTAAAACTACTTCTACACCTACCCTTGTGACCATGTGACCAATGTGACCGAAATATAGTATGGTCACATTTTGATCTCATTGTTCATAACGTTAAATTTATGATGTTTTAATCAAATGATTAGTAAGATATACAAGATATGAACATAATGAATTAGTGTGATCACTATAAATTTAACGTTATAATCGATAAAAATCAAAATGTGACCATACTATATTTCGGTCATATTGGTCACATGGTCACAAGGGTAGGTGTAGAAGTAGTTTTAGCAAATGGAGGGTATTTTGGATAATGCGCCTCTGGAATTCACTCGACACTTTCGCCCGACCTTGGAATCTCAAACCCTAACCCCCTAAAGTCCCTATGAAATTAGCGATTCGAGCTCAAAACACTGAAACTAGCTCACTTGATCTCCTCTGACGATTGGTTTCTCTCTTCCCCCTTTTAACCTTCCTGCTGTACTCTGCTTGTCCGATTCCATGGCGGGGTCTACGGTGGAGGATCTAGGGCTGCCGGAGTCGTGGGAAGCGGCCGATCTGGACGCCGCGTTGAGCCGATTGATGCTTTCTTCGACGCCCTCGAACGATCCTGCTCAGAGGGAGGAGCTACCTGATGTTCAACCTCCTTCGCAGATACAGACTTCGGGTTCTTCATCCTCTGGGGAAAAGGTTTTAGATGATGCTGTCAATCAAGTCGACCAGTTCCTTCGCGAGGCTCTTGAGAATCCTCGCGAGCGTCTCTCTGGTAACCATGAAGTCCCGCGCTTACTTAATTTGCAATCTGATTGATAGACCACATATTTAAGCGATTCTGCATGTATCTGGTTGAAAGTTTAAAGGTTCTGTGAAAAGGGTTGGCATCGTATTTTCAACTATCTTGTGTCAAAAAGAGCTTCCCCTATCATGGAATTCTAGTTAGTACTGATTAAGTGTAGTTTTCATTTGTAGAGCTGTCATTATGTTGTGTGTATATATTGTTGCATACCTTCGTTTTGAAAGGTGAAAAACATTATGCACATCGTTAGATCTTTATTCATATATGACCTTCTTCTAGTGGTATTACTTGCCGTGTCTGGCAGTCTGCGTCTGATGCTATTAATTGGTACCTTTCCTCAGTTTTGCGCATGGAGCAGGAGGTTGAGAAGTTCATTCATGACCCATCTCAACAGCAAATGGAATTTCAGCAGATACCTACATCATACCTACGGTTGGCAGCACATCGTGTTGCACAGCATTACAATCTTCAGTCAATGGTTTTGTTAGATAATAGCTTACCTGATGGTTCAGGTTCTAGAATTATTGTGCGCAAGACCTCGGAATGTAGGCGTCCTGCAATTCGCCTTGCGGACATTCCTGTGAATTTACGGTCAGAAGACAGCAGTGTAATCAAGGTTGCCATAAAACAGAGGCCTCAAAAACAGTCTTCATTTGTCAGTAGCTCAGATTCAGACACAGTTAAGACAAATAAGTCCAAAAGTGTTGAGGAGAGAAAAGAGGAGTATAACCGAGCCCGGGCAAGGATATTTAATTCTTCTAATCCGAGTATTGGCCATGGTGGAGATCCTGAAATTGAACATCGACTGTATGATGGTTCTCGTGTATCCAAACCATCAAGGGTGGAGGAGAAATTTACTGCAGGCCCATCCGATGCAACATCTTCTAGGAGTTTGATCGATTCATTTGCAAGTGGCAGCAGAACCACAAGAAGTAGGGTGGAGATGGAAGCAACTGTTAGGTCTAAACCTAATAATAACCGGGTGGCAATCTTCCGTGACCGTGAAACAGAGCTAAAAGATCCCGACTATGATAGGAGCTACGACAGGTGTGAGTTTCATTCTTTGTTTCCTATCAGAAATACATTTTTATATTTTTGAAATATACATTGCACCGTCAGTTTACCAATTTCTGATTATTTTTGCGTCTTTCTTCAAATTCTTTTTTCTATGTTCAGTCATCAGTGTCTTCTAGTCAATTTTGTTTTTATAGGGGACAGAAAAAGGTACAGGATGTCTATCTTCTTTATATGTGTTTTCTCCTGCTTACTAGTTATTACGAAGTTCTAACTGTTGTATGTCCTATTTCGTCCGATGTTTTTTTAATGCAAATCTTGTATATACCTTAGGATCTTGTTGACACCTACATACCTAGAGAGATGGGGATGGATAAATTTTTTCTCTGTGAAAAGGCTCATGGCATCTGATGAGTTGCTTGTTTCTATTTATTAAGGCTTTTGATTAGAAATGTAATGATAAAAAAATTTGGCCTCAGTTCGATGAAAGATTGGAAACTTTTTGTTGCAATTTGAGGCGTAGATGAACTTGACAAACAAAGTAGTTTCCTATTCTTTTTCCTTCTCGTAAACCGTATATTAAAAATAGCTGTTTTGCCAGGTATTTGCAGCGGTTTGACCCTGGGTTTGGCTTCAGCAATGGGCCATACACTATTCAACCAATGTTTACGCCTGCTGTAAATTACAACACTGAATTTCCACAGCTTGGGTCTACTCATAGACCTCAGATATTTGTTGAACATCAAGCTAGGCCTTTACCTCAGCATCTCCCTGCACCTTGGGCTGGACCATCGAACCCTGCCGGGATTGCATATGTTCATCCTGAACCAATGATGACTCCTTTTAGTCCAAGTCATATGGATGCTCGCCCTAGTTCTACACTCTATCTCCATTCTTCTCAGTTCCCGTGTCAGCACCCTGGAATGCCTTTTATTCATACTCATGACCATGTTCGCCAACCTTTTGCTCAGGTACCCCAATAAAAAAAAGTGTGTTTGACAAGAGACAAGAATTTATACATTTTTTATGGTGCTAAGCATAATCTACTTAGAAAAGGGGTGAAAAGAAAGAAAGGAGATTGATGTGTTTTAATTTCTTAGCAGTTGGACGAAGAAGCAGAACCTTATGTTGCTCATATGACCCTTTTTCGAGTCTGATCCCTTCCCTTGCATCTGGATCCTTATAGCATGGTGGGTTGGGGGTTTTGTTGGGGTAATCATAACAATTTGGCATCGAAAGGCGGGCAGATATTTGTAGAGTTTCAGGGGTTTATTAGTATCTATAATCTAAAAACACAGGTGACTTAAAGTTGCAACCAGTTAAATGTTGACAAAATAATGAACTGGAGCTTTTGATTACTGTATATATGCCTAGTTTTTTTTATGATAAAACATAGGATCTCACTGAAGAGTTGGATAAAATGAAAGTTGAAATACTTGTTGGCATATTTCTACATATTTTTCGTGTGCTTAGCTACTGATACTCTAATTAAGTGGCAATGATTCTAGCATTTTGCCTTTCTTTCTCTGACTCTTATCTTGTTCTTATTTTGTAGTCTCATCAACCACAGTCTGATGGTAGTTATGAATTGGCCCGGCCTCGATAAGGGGTTTGGGCCATGCCTGCACCCCGCCAGCAGTAGGCCAAGTTCAAGACGTGTTTGGCAAGCAAAATCGAAGATATATATCTGCTGGTGGGAGAGTGCAGGCACAAAGAACCGAGCGGGAATGAGCGACATGGCTGCTTATTCTTGTGCACGCCTATGACATTTTTCCGGGCTCGGTTCTCGATAAAGCCTCATACTATTCTCTCTGGGTAATTGAAGCTGCTTCTCTGGTGAACCACTTGATTTGACCTTGAATTAGGTCAGAGTTATTAAAACACTTTGGAAACCTCTGTCAAGGTAAGTGGGCGAGTTAGCATCTGTTTTCTGGCAATATTTTGCAACACAAGTAACTATTTCGCGCTTCTATCACGAGTTCTCATCTCGGGTTTTGTTCTGCAGCAGAAGCCTGAGCATCTATGCCCTTGTACGGTCCACTGCCTCCGTCGAAACTTTGAACAACGGTGCCATGGAAGTTTACGGTAAGCAGGAACCATGTATGGTTGATTTTTTTACGTACTTTCTTTTTTAGGTGTTAGGCGCTTGAACATGTAAAAAAGTGATGGAAGATGTTTAAAATGTGGAGACCTTGTCTGTCTTGTAATTGCACCTATTAGTTTGGATACTCCAAACTCTAGTTTGGAAAACCAAGTGTCTCCGGTTGTTGTCCTGAACCCAAGTTTATATCTAAATAGAGATTCGAGAGGTAAAGCAAGAAAGTCAGTGCGAGGCAATGAATAATTCTACTATTGTATTATTATTATTAAAATGCTCATATATATATATATATGTCCGGCCCTGAATCCATTGAGTTTCGGATTGTGTCGGTCTTATGATCCCAAATACTTGGTATCTGCAGGGGGAGGGTGAATACGAACAAAGAAACGAACCTGAAGTGATTGGAATCTACAGCGCCACGCAACAAATACACGGTAGAGTGGTTGAGATCAGTGCGTATATACACCAAGTGTATAAATAGTGATAAATTTGTAAAAATGGACAAATGACAACGATCTCGTATCTGATCTACGGATGATCCAAACTTGTTTCCTCGGATATCCGAAAATCAGTTACATTGTCTAACCACAGACGCAAATTCGATATTGAGTTACTCTAACCCAAGTACATGTATCCATCAGTTTCTTTTCATACCTCTATTTTTATTTTTTTTGAAACTTCCCTTCGTTTATTTTTGCGATCCATACGACGAGATATAGTTCATTTGTTTGGCTGATGGGTTTATGCTTAGGATTCAAGAGTTCGAAACTCGTGTTTTTCTTGGTATTTTCCAATCATGTCGTTAGTTTAGGGGTTCAATATTTGTTGGAATAATGTTGCAATATACACAAAGGGGAGTTAGAATAAAAGCGGGATGGATGAAATGGAGACAAGCCAAGGGGTTCTTTATGATCCTAAGGTTTTTCTACAGTTGAAAGGAAAATTCTATCGAACTGCCATAAGACTCGTATTATTGTATGATAGTGAATGTTGGACGGCGAAAGGGCAACATATATCTACAATGAGTGTGGCTGAGATGAGGATGTTGAGATGGATGTACGGGCACACAATGATGGATAAAATTAGAAATGAGATTATGAAAAAGAAAATAGGAGTAATAGGTATCGAAGAGAAAGTACGGGAGGGGCGTTTAAGATGGTTTGGACATGTATAATGTAGGTCGATAGATGCGCTGATTAGAAAAGTAGAGTATAGGTATAGGGGTGAGAAGAAAAGGAAGAGGTAGACATAGACTTACTTGGGAGCGTGTCATTAGAAACGATTTGGAAGTGTTGCAGATTTCAAAAGAATTAACCCGAGATCGAAATGAGTGGAGAAGAAGGATTCATGCGGTCGATCCCAAATGAACTTGGAAATGAGGTCATGTTGTTGTTGTTGTATACACGAAGGGAAATCTTGGCACACTGATTAAGGTGTTGTCGTTCGAATTCTGGAAACAGTCTCTTGCAAACTGTAAGATCAGATTTATTTACAATACACCCTTTTAGTGGGATCTTTTCGGAACCTCCATTCAACGAGATTTTTGTGCGCCGGACTACCCTTTAATGTTGAATTATACATTCAAATATGCAGGTTTCAATTGAGACTCAGCCTCTCAAACGGTGACGAGTAGTTGATCTCTTTTAGTTTTTATCTTCACATGTTGGCGTGTTTACGAATCTCTTTCAGTTTGGATGCGTAATTCTTTTGTTGAGGCGTTTATGAATTTCAAGTTTATGAACCTCTTCGAGATTCATAGACATATACGCAGATTCAGTTTGCAACTGAACCATGTACCGTGCGTCGCATGTGTATGTGTGTGTGCATGTACGATGAAATGGAAAAACTCATGGTTCAAAAATTAATAGAAGGAAAATATATACTGAATATATAGTTTCCTTACCTGTTGTGTTTAGTTTCCTTTGTCTCTTGTTGCCTTGTACAGACATTCGTGCATATATGTTGTGAGAAACTCATGGAATACACAGACAGACACATCCCTGTTTTTTCGATTGTCGACGGCTCGACCTGACATGGTATCAGAGCCCGACACTCTCTAATTGCGCCTCCCGAATTCTGACAGATCCTCCGACAAACGAAACGACCCTACCTCGTATCGATCTCATATCACCGACTTTATCATGTCTTCTGACACGACAAACACGACGACTGAAGCAACACCGCTTCCCCGACGAACTATCTCACCCTACGATCTGAGCCCGAGTGATAATCCCGGCCTAGTCCTGTCACAACCGTTGCTACGCGGTGCGAACTATGAAGAATGGTCCATCAATGTTCGACATGCTCTGAAATCACGGAAGAAATATGGCTTTGTAGACGGAAAAATCCCACAACCGAAGCCCGAATCTCCTGATTTTGAGGATTGGAAAACCAACAACTCGCTTATTGTCTCCTGGATTAAGAACACCCTCGACCCCGCGATTCGGTCCGACGTCGTACACCGTGAGTATGCAAAGGATTTGTGGGATTACCTCAAACGCCGTTTTGGAATGACTAATGCCCCTCGATTGCTGCGTCTTCGAAGCGAATTGGCGAACTGTCGGCAACACGGATTGTCTGTTGAAGCTTACTTTGGAAAGCTGACAAAACTATGGGATGATCTGAACAATTATCGCTCAGTGAAAAATTGCCGATGTGGACATTGCACTTGCAATCTCGCTGTCAAACTTGAACAACAACGCCAAGAAGACAAGTTGTTTGAATTTTTGTTGGGCCTTGACGATGGAAAATTTGGCGTCGTTCGCTCGAATCTTCTGTCTCGCATGCCTCTTCCGACTGTGGAAGAAGCGTACCTCGTCGTCACACAGGATGAAGAATCCCAAGGATCTATGTCTCGTCTCACAGACAAGGCTGATGTTTCCGCCTTCACTGCCCAGATCAATCAGTGCCCTCGTCCACCTTCTGATGATAAGTACAAAAACGTGCTCTGTTCAAATTATGGCCGCCTGGGACACCTCGCAAATAGCTGTTTCCAGATTCTTGGATTCCCGGAGTGGTGGGGAGATCGCCCTCACAACCGAACCGGTAGAGGACGTGGTTGTTGGTTTAGTGCTCTATGATGTACTGATTATGAGCTTTGTTCAGATACATTCGATGTATTGATACTTTCTATATGTTTTTTTATGAGAGTATCTTGTTCATTACATGTTCCTGCATGCTAGATCTGTTATGAAATCCATGTATCATTATGAATGATACTAAACTCCCTAGTCTTGTGTCATTATGGGAATAACGACATAATAAGACTAGTATGATGTGTGATTGATGATCACATAGATGATCATAGGTATTGGATACGATCACAATCATAGGTATTCGTTGCAGAACGGAATACTGGACTGACCCGCATGAGATTGTCACATGGACTAGCGTCATGACTTGAATCTCATACGACGATTCCATGATTGGATCCTAAGACCTGAGATATCTACAGAATCCAACATGAGGAGTTGCGTGCTTTGATTACGTCAAACGTCCTGCGTAAAAGGAGGACTATAAAGGCGTGTATCAGGTACGAAACGAATCATGTACTGGATGTTAGATAGTCAAGACGGGATTTGTACCTCTCGTAAAAGAGAGAGATATCGCTGGGCCCCTCGTGTGAGCAAGACTGTAGAAATGTGTGGCCGCACTATAGACGAACATCGTCTATTTCAGACAGTCGAACTCAGTGAACGAGAAAGCAGTCGAATCAGATAAGGTGGCTTGTCCATGCCTTATGTTCGACATATCATATCGCGATACAAAAGGATCATCAGTCGGAATCATCACTGGCTTTCGTATGATCACAAACAAACTCTATTCGAGATAGGTAGTCATAGTGTCTTGCTAGAGACCGCCTATGACTTGTATACCCGAAATAGAGATTTCGGGTTATACTGCTATTCGAATGAGCCTACAGGGTCATACACGCAGGGAATGACGAAACCGCACGAGAAAACGATGAAAAACCGAGACAGAAGGGTCTGGAACGGACGGACCGGAAGTCCAGAACGGACGGTCCACCAAGTCCAGACCCGACG